CAGAAATACAAAGAATTATGAGAGAATACTATGAAAAATTACATGGTAAACTGTATAACCTAGAAGAAAAGGACAACTTTCTAGAAAAATACACCCTTCCAAGGCTGACCCAGGAAGAAACAGAAAATCTGAACAGACCAATTACCAGTAAGGAAATTGTATTGATAATCAAAAAACTACTTAAGAACAAAACTCCTGGATCAGATGTTTTCACTGCTGAATTTTATCAAACATTTAGTGAACACTTAATACCCATCCTCCTTAAAGTTTTCCAAAAAGTAGAAGAGGAGGGAATACTCCCAAACCTATTCTACGAGGCCAACATCAGTGTAATACCAAAACCAGGTGAAGACCCCACTAGAAAAGAAAATTACAGAGAAATATCCCTGATGAACATAGATGCTAAAATACTCAACAAAATATTGGCAAACCGAATTCAAAAATACAGCAAAAAGATCACCCATCATGATCAAGTGGAATTCATCCCAGGGATGCAAGGATGGTACAACATTTGAAAATCCATCAACATCATCCACCACATCAACAAAAAGGACAAAGACCACATGATCATCTCCATAGAAGCTGAAAAAGCATTTGACAAAATTCAACGCCCATTCATGATAAAAACTCTTAACAAAATGGGTATAGAGGGCAAGTACCTCAACATAACAAAGGCCATATATAACAAACCCACAGCCAACATTATACTTAACAGCGAGAAGCTGAAAGCTTTTCCTTTAAGATCAGGAAGAAGACAAAGATGCCCACTCACCCCACTTTTATTCAACATAGTTCTGGGGTCCTAGCCACGGCAATGAGACAACACAAAAAAATAAAAGGCATCCAGATTGGTAAGGAAGAAGTCAAACTGTCACTGTTTGCAGAAGACATGATATTGTACATAACAAACCCTAAATAATCCACTCCAAAACTACTAGATCTAATATCTGAATTCAGCAAAGTTGCAGGATAGAAAATTAATACACAGAAACCTATTCCATTCCTATACACTTTCTGCTAGCAGAAAGAGAAATCAGGAAAACAATTCCATTCACAATTGCATCAAAAAGAATAAAATACCTAGGAATAAACCTAACCAAGGAAGTGAAAGACCTATACTCTGAAAACTATGAGACACTCATGAGAGAAATTAAAGAAGATACCAATAAATGGAAATGTATCCCATGCTTATGGATAGGAAGAATTAATATTGTCAAAATGGCCATCCTGCCTAAAGCAATCTAGAGGTTCAATGCAATCCCAATCAAAATACCAATAGCATTCTTCAATGAACTAGAGAAAATCACTCTAAAATTCATATGGAACCAGAAAAGACACCAAATAGCCAAAGCAATAATGAGAAGGATGAATAAAATGGGGAGTATTGGATTGCACTCCCCAATTTCAAGCTCTACTACAAAGCCACAGTAATCAAGACAATTTGGTACTGGCACAAGAACAGACCCATAGATGAATGGAACAGTCTAGTGACCCCAGATATAAACCCAACCATATATGGTCAATTAATATGATAAAGGAGTCATGGATATACAATGGGGAAATGACAGCCTATTCAACAGCTGGTGTTGCCAAAACTGGACAGCTATATGCAAGAGAATGAAACTGGATTATTGTTTAACCCCATACACAAAAGTAAACTCAAAATGGATCAAAGTCCTGAATGTAAGTCATGAAACCATAAAACTCTTAGAAGACAACATAGGCAAAAACCTCTTGAATATAAACATAAGCAACTTTTTCCTGACCGCATCTCCTCGAGCAAGGAAAACAAAATAAAAATGAATGAATTGGACTACATCATGCTAAAAAGCCTCTGTACAGCAAAGGACAATATCAGCAGAACAAAAAGGCATCCTAAAGTATGGGAGAATATATTTGTAAATGACATGTCTGACAAGGGGTTAACATTCAAAATATATGAAGAACTCACATGCCTCAACACCCAAAAAGCAAATAACCATATTAAAAAATGGGTTTAGGATATGAACAGACAATTCTCCAAAGAAGAAACTCAGATGGCCAACAGACACATGAAAAGATGCTCCACATCGCTAAATATCAGGGAAATGCAAATTAAAACCACAATGAGCTATCACATCATGTCAGTTAGGATGGCCAAAATAGAAAAGAATAGGAACAGCAAATGCTGGCGAGGATGCAGAGAAAGGGGAACCCTCCTATGCTCGTCCTCTCCCTGCCTCTGTCCCACAGATAAGGGAGGAGATGAGTCATCAAAGATCTGAAAGGGCCAGCCAGGGGACTCAAGGTGTAACAGCTCAAGAGCAATGCCAAAAAAGCACTCCTCACATTTATTGAGTAAATGAACTTACAATGAACTCAAACATTCTCCGGCCTTGAGTCTAGCCCAAGGACGCGCTTCTCAAGGATACCAAAACTGTGTGAAGGCGGTTCTGAGCCATGAGAACTGCTTCGGTTCTCATCACTCCGTCCGTGATTACACATCAACAGAGTATGTGGGAAAAACAATCAAGTCATGTGTACTTTTACATTTGATTTCTACCTTACTTGAATTATGTATTAACCCCATCAATCCCACACTCCTACACTGCTGGTGGGAGTGTAAACCAGTTCAACCATTGTGGAAAGCAATATGGAGGTTCCTCAAAAAACTAAAAATAGAAATACCATTTGACCTTGGGATTCCAGTCCCAGGAATTTGCCCAAGGAATACAAGTTGTCAGATTCAAAAAGACATATGCATCCCTTTGTTTATTGCAGCACTATTTACAATAGTCTAGATATGGAAGCAACCTAAGTGTCCATCAGTAGATGAATGGATAAAGAAGATGTTGTACATATACAAAATGGAATACTATTCAGCCATAAGAAAGAAACAAATCCATTTGCAACAGCATGGATCAAGCTAGAGGGTATTATGCTCAGTGAAATAAGTCAGGCGAAGAAAGAAAAATACCAAATGATTTCCCTCATGTGTGGAGTATAACAAAGCAAAAGTGATGGAACAAAACAGCAGCAGACTCACAAACTCCAAGAAGGGCTAGTGGTTACCAAAGTTGAGGGATGGAGGAGGGCAGGTGGGGAGGGGATCATGGGGAAGACAGTGTACCACAGAGAAGTAGTGACTCTGTGACATCTTACTACACTGATGGACAGTGACTGCAATAGGTTATGGGGGAGACTCTATAATATGGGTGAATGTAGTAACCACAATGTTTTTCACATGAAACCTTCATGAGAGTCTATATCAATGATAACTTAATAATAATTATAAAACACAATGAGATGCTAGTATACATCTACAAGAATGGTTGTTTAAAATGGACATTGTCAAGCATTGGAGAGGCTAGGGGGCCACTAGACTTTGACTACTAAATTTAAATGTGTTAAACGTATTTACTTTCACCCAGAAATTCTGTAGTAGTGACTGGGTAGGGGCATGAGACGGATGCTGGTGATTGTCCTGCATAAATACATACATAGGTGGTTTCTATTATATACACTTATAATTTATATACTGTTTTCTATGTCATATCCAATATGATGTTCAGTACCAAAAATAAAGTAACTTATATGCATGGTTTGGACATTTGACCTCCTCAGTCAGCAGGGGAAGCTTTCTTAGAGGCAAGGGTGAAGCAGATTCTCAATTCTCTCAGCTTCTGGGGGACTGAGTTGTGAGTGTAGTCCAGGACTTCTTTCTTCCTCTGGCCTAATTTTATTTCCTAGAAAGTTAATGATTTGTTTCATAACTTATGTTCCCCTGCAAGGAGTATATTGACTGCTTACATATATTTTCAGAGTTTTAAGATCTTTTAACTCTATTTACCCCATAGTGGAATTAATCTGAGGACCTGGACAACAGAATTAAATGAAATGTGGCAAGTCTCTCTGAAATAATCAAGTCTCTTTTGGTAGCAAGTGGCAAAAATTCAGCTCAAACTTTGGGTCCCTAACATTTGGAAATTTGCTGGCTTATGGAACTGCTCGCATCTCACACTGTTCACTATTCACAATGTTATTATTTTCACTTCAAGCCTTGACTGGATACAAATAATGTTATCAAGTCACTGTCTCTGAGCTCTGCCTTCCTTTGTATTAGCTTTGTTTTCAAGTTATTTCCCTCAGAGTGCCAATAAATTAGCCACAGGTGGCTCCAGAATCACACCATCCACATAGCTTGTGATCCTGTGAGGAAAAGCATGTCTCTTCCATGGTAGTTCTAACCCAAGTCCCAGGAAGGGCCGAATGGGCAAGCTTGGGTTACCTGCTCATTCCTGAATCCATCACTGTGGCTAGAAAGTTATACTGACTAGACAGGCGTAGGTCATATGCAAACTCTGAGGTTGTGCTGAAGAGGGGACATGGATTGGATCACCCACAGTAAGGAAATTTTAACAAAAAAGTGGGGGTGTTAAGAATGGTGGACAGGCATACTAAACTTACCGCAGTCTACTAAATCTCCTGAAAGGAATAGCATGTAAGCACTCACTTCATAGTTCTATATCCTGCAGTGGTGATTTCATTGGCCCATAGCTGCTTAAATCAATGCATTTATCTTATTTGAAGCTGGCAGGGAGAATGTTTCAACATGGGAGTGAGGAAAAAGAATTCCCAGTCCTCTCTGGTTCCATAAATTTATCACCTTGCTCTGTGTCTTGCCAATGGGTTTCAGCCCCAGGCAAGTTTGCTATGGATTCAGTGTGACCAAAGAAAATGACAGCAAAACGTTCTTGAGGTGAAAGGGTTATACCCAACTTTATTTCCACGTGGCAGGTCAGTCACTAGAATCCCATTCACTCAGAGTGAATCTGCATGCAGCAAGCTGGTCTCTGCTGCTGGGCTCCTCTATCCACACAGCCATCCTCTGGGCCTCTCTGCACAGTCGTCCCATACAGCCATCCTCCAGGCCTCTCTGCTCAGTCATCCCGCATAGCCATCCTCTGGGTCTCTGTTTTTGGCACTGCCACTACTCCAGCCTCTGCTCTCCTCTCCTGCAGCCTTGTAGCCCTGCCGCCATGTTATTCCTGGAGCACTGGGTGGAGCTCTTTATAGTCAACAGCCATGTACTGCCCACAGGTGTGCAGTGAGCTAGTCAACCACAGCCAGGTGAGAATCCTGGCCACAGGAACTCTCATTTTATCCACATTCTGTTAAAGCATTTGGATGTGGGTTTTAATATGCTTGATTAAATGCTGTTGTTTTCTCCAACTAATGAAGAAAATGTCACAGAGACTCTTGGTGATTGTGCCTTTAGCATCACAGTAGATTCTTTTTTAGATTTCCTCACATCCTATCCTCAGTAGAAACAGTTCTTTACTATTCAGAGATTAACTAGCCTTAGCTGATACTGATTCCTGTTCCAGCTTCACACTGGAATTGTGTTCATTATTTACATAGCCTTGTAGTTCTAAATATTGACATTAGACTGTTGTCCTGCTATGCACAGGCAGCCCTTAGTTAATAATAGAGTTGGTATATGTTGGAGGCTCCAATGTTTCCCTGTAAAGAAGAGGCCTACTCACTGGAGACTTCCTCTTTAACCATGGTTTCTCTATGTGGACTGGCTTCCTAACACCCCCGTCTTGCCAATGGGTTTCAGCCCCAGGCAAGTTCACTATGGATTCAATGTGACCAAAGAAAATGACAGTAAAATGTTCTTGGGGTGAAAGGGTTATACCCAACTTTACTTTCAGGTGGCAGGTCAGTCACTAAAATCCCGTTCATGCAGAGCAAGTCTGTATGCAGCAAGCCAGTCTCTGCCTCTGGGCCCCTCTCCATACAGCCATCCCACACAGCCATCCTCTGGGCCTCTCTACCTGCACAGATGTCCTCTGTCCTCGGTGCTACCACCACTCCAGCCTCTGCTCTGCTCTCCTGCAGCCTTGCAGCCCCACCATGTTATTCCTGGAGCACTGGGTAGAGCTCTTTATATAGAGTCAACAGCCATGTATTGCCCACAGGTGTGCAGTGAGCTAGTCAACCAGGGCCAGGTGAGAATCCTGGCCACAGGAACTCCCATTTTATCCATCCCCCCTCAAAAAAAAAGAAGGCAAGGGAGAAGTACAGGTGAAGAAGAGTTTGATAATCATACAATTTCTTGCCTTCACTGAGAATCTCTTAAAATGAGCCTCAAATTTAAAGGCTGTTGAAAAAACCACAAAAGTAGACAGTGCCAAGACACTGAAACTTGAGTGAACCATTTGAGAGCATATCATTTATTCATTCAGTAAATAACCATAGTACCTATTATTGGTCAGGTTGTATACTATGTACTGTGAATATGTAAGACAAAGGCCCTGACTTTGTAAGACATTCCAGTGGGGCAGACAGACATAAAAAACTAAAACAGGGAAAGGGGCAGTGTGGGGAAAATTGAAGTTCCTATGGCCAGGATCCTCACCTGAACCTACTTGTTGATGTAAACGGCCTACTGCTAGACTACTGCTTCCACACCCAAAGGCAATAAGCCATTATTGACTGAGTCATATAGAGCTCTGGCCAGTGCTCCGGGCAGAGGCAGAGAGTAAGGAGGATTGCAGACCTGTAGACTGCTGGATGCAGACATAATTTTAGCACTTGACCTGTCACCAGAAGAACAAGCCGGGTAATAAACCCTTTTACCCCAAGAATGTTCCATTGTTATTCCTTGGTCTTACTGAATCCATAGTGAACTTGCCTGGGGCTGAAACCCACTGGCAAGACAGGCAGAGTAGCACAGCCTTCTATTTTAGTCACAGTGGTGGATAAAATAAAAGTTCCTGTGGCCAGGATTCTCACCTGGCCCTGGTTGGTTGGCTCACTACACACATGTGGGCAATGCATCGTTATTGACTCTATATAAAGAGCTGTGCCTAGTGTTCTGGGTGATACGGTGGCACGGCTGCAAGGCTGCAGGAAAGCAGAGCTGGAGTGGTGGCAGCGCCAAGGACAGAGGACGTCTATGCAGGTAGAGAGGTCCAGATGCAGACTCACTCTGAGTGAACGGGATTTTAGTGACTGACCTGCCACCATGGGAATAAAGTTGGGTATAACCCTTGCACCCCAAGATCGTTTTACTGTCATTTCTTGGGTTACATTGAATCCATAGTGAATTTACCCAGGGCTGAAATCCATTGGCAAGACAAGCGGTCAGCGAAGGCAGTAATATTTAAGCAGAGGTTAAGAAAATTAGCTAAGCACTCCAACAAAGTAAACAGTGCAAAAGTCCTGAGGTGGGGATATGCTTACTTTTCAGTGAACAGCAATGAAACCACTACCATTGACCAGGAGAATCATAAAATGAGGTTGGAGAAGAAGGTGGAGGCCAGGACATATAGAGCTTGTAGAACATGGTGTGAGTTTGGGATTTTATTCTAAATGTCACAGTAAACCACTGGAAAGTTTTGAGCAGGTCAGTGCACCTTCTGAAAGGATCACTCATAGGGAGGTGGAGAAAAGGCTGTAGCCAGGTGTATCCAGCAGTAACTGCCCAGCCATGAAAAGAGAAACCATTTCAGGCAGAGGGAATTTAACACTAATAAGTGTCAAAAGGAAGCACAAGGTGATATCAAAGATTGGATGCTGCTAAAAACACGCCTCGCTGGAACCCATGGGAGCTGCACCAGCCCCTGTGTCATTTGGAGGTACTGTCACTGTCATCCTCTACTTACCAGGTAGGAGCCACCTTGACCAAGGGAGGAACTGTCAGTCAGGAATCATCCTACCTCTACTCCCACCTTAGAAAGAGCAGCAACTACCATACTCCTGAATCCGGAAGCAGAAAGTTACTTGCCTCCCTCTGCCTTCTGATTTTCTGCTCATTCCTCCTCTGGTGGAACTTCATTGGGAGCCAGCTGGCCTCATGAGCAAAGGAGTTAAACACTCTAGGCCCCTGCTGCAGAGTGTAAAAGGGCAACTGTAGAATGGAGAAATGACAACTTCTGAACAAGGTCAGAGCAGAAGAAGGGAAATTGGCAGGGTGCTGGCGCTCTATATAGCACAGGTGAAAGTGATTATGGCTTGGACTATGGCAGACACTAGCAGTGTCTCGAGTCAATATTTTTATTTGACAATTGGGCCAAAGAGAAGAGTCAAGGATGATTCCAAGGACTTTGGCCAAAGTAAATAGGGAACACTGGCAGAAGTGTGTGTTGTATTTGTTTGGTGGGTGAGGATAAATCAAAACTTCTGGTAAAGGTAATTGTAAGAAGCCTATTATAAATTTAGATTGAGATGAACAGAATGTAGTTGAACACACCTGCTGAAGTTCAGAGGAAGGGGTGGGACAGGCGGTGGAATTTAAAGACTCTGACCTCCATCCGTGGGATTAGATAGGGGAGTGACTGAAAGGAGAAGTCCAAGGACTGAGCCGTAGGGCACCTGAACACTCAGAAAGGTCTGGAAGGAGAGCAAGACGCAGCAAAGGAAAACCCAGTGGACTCAGAGAGGTAAAAACAGAATTGTGCAGGGCAATGGAAAACCAGCCCCACACGGTGGCAATAATCAGGTGTGGTAACTATTGCTGAGTACACTAAGATAAGAACTGGGAATTACCTCCTTGGATTTGGCAGCTAGGAAATAAGGGGGAAAAATCTGAGTGGAGTGGGTTTCCTCTTTGGAGGAGTTCTCTGTACAGGGGAGCAGAAAAGTGGCGTGAAAATAAAGGGACGCCTCACCGACATGGCTTGGGAGGCCTGCAGTGGGAGCCTCACGCCCACCCCTCCAAGTAAATCTCAGCCGCCCATGGGCAGGAAGAGACCGGGGCTAAACCCTTCCAGCTGCTTTACCCCTAAGCCGAGGAAGGTTTCTGCCTTTCGCCTGCCTGGCCAGGGAGATACTGTCACACCTCAGCCAATGGGAAGCCACGATGCATGGTGGACTCAGTCTGCTCCAATGGACTTTTTGTTTAGAACAGCCCCAACCCGGCCCTTTGGCCCTTCCTGTGTCAGGAGCTTTCTCTGCTTTGCTCTCCAGATGTGCTTACGGTTTTGCCTAGTTTACCTGTCCCAGATTGCAATTCTCTGCTATTCTCGAATAAACCCATGTTTTTGCTGGTACAGTAACTGACTTATTTTTAAGTGTAACAGCGGGAAGTTACCTAGCAGGGACTGTGCAGCCCAGGGAGCACGTTTAAGCGATGGGCGACGGTGTCAGTCCACTGTCAAAACGCCCGCTGGGGCTAGCATCCGAGACGAAGTCCTGGCCTCCTGCCCTCAGGGGACTAACCTCGGCGGAAATTCTTGAAACATGTCTTGTAGTGCATAAAGTGAGGCAGCTAATGCTGGGCCGAAGCAGAGGAGGGCGGCGGGTGCGTCACCTGCATCCGGCCGGCCTTCGGGCCCTCAGGGCTAAGACGGCTCCGGGGAACGCGCCGGTCTACGGGCCGGCGCCTGGTGGCTCTCAGAGAGCCACAAAATGGAGGGGGACGGAGAACCCCTCTCGAGGGCGTCTCTCCGAGCGGGCCGTCCCCCGTCGCGGTGTCGGGGCGCTCCTGCCTTGCGCCTGGCCCTCTGACGCCCAGCCCCCTCCTCGGGGGCTCCTCGTCCGGTCCTGGAGCCACCCAGGGCGGGGTCATCGCGCCGGCTGGGCTCCGCCTTGCACGTCCACCGCCCCCACACCCACATGCCCACATCCGCGGTCGTCTCTGGGGAAGCGGCGGGAGCGGGAGGGGCCGGCGGCCGGCCGCTGGGTCACGTGGGCTGCACCGGCCAATAGGTGCGCGGCTGGGGTGGAGCCCAGCCCCTCTGAGCCGCCGTCGGGCTGTTGGACAGCGAGGTAGAGGTCGCCACAGAGCCAGCGAGCGAGTCGTGCGGGAAGGAGGTACAGCTCAGGTCGGTCGTGGGGGGCCCACGGGCGGGAGGGGAGGGAGGGGGCGAGACGTCGCCACCCGCACAGGTGTCCATCCCACCCGCCACGGCCCCCGACCTCCCCTCTCTTTGCTCAGCACGAGGCCATGGAGCGCGAAGTTCAGAGGGTTCGCCGCGCGTTCGAGTCCGGCCGGTCGCGACCCCTCAGGTTCCGGCTGCAGCAGCTCGAGGCCCTGCGCAGGATGGTGCTGGAGCGCGAGAAGGACATCCTGGCGGCCATCACCGCCGACCTGTGCAAGGTGGGTGCGCGGTGGGCGGAGTCGGGACACCGCCTCCCGCCGCCCCACTTAGGGACCGTGTTTCGCCCGAGCTTTGGCATTTTTTTCCTTCGTTTTTGATTACGCAAGCACTGTGGGAGTAAAATCTCCGGCAGTACCGATAAAGCAAAAGTTCCGCCTGGTTTTCCCGATCGTGCTTTGCTTAGCCAGCCCCTCTCGTGCATATTTGCAGACACGTAGGTATGTGTGTGTCTTCAAGCCTTTGTTCTTTTGCAAATTGCTTGTTTTTCTGTTGCATTTATGGCCCTTTTCCTTATTATTTGGAGGAATTCTCTGTATATTCTGGATTTAGATAATTTGTCGGCTTACTGTATTGCAGACATTTTTATCCTGGTCTGTTTATTTTCTTTTAACCTTGTTCATTGTTTCTTTTGTAATCAGGATTTTTGGTTGTTACACTCAAATTTCTTCCACGCCGTTGTGTTTTAGGTCGTTGTTTCTCAAACTCGAGTGCACTGGTGACTCACCTGGGGATCTTGTTAAAATGCAAATTGTGATTCAGTAGGTCTGGGAGAGGGTCTGACAGAATATTCTAAGTTTCTAACAGCCCTGTTGCCGATTTTGGAACCACATTTTTTTTTTAATTGTGGGGCATATGACCTACATATTATGTTAGTTTCAGGTGTACAACATAGTGATTCAATATGTATGTATATTGCAAAATGATGAACATGCTTAGTTACCATCTTCTGTCACCACCATACAGAGTTACTGCAATATTGACTATAATCCCTACGCTGTACTTTACAGCCCCCTAAATTATTGTATAATTGGAAGTTTGTACTTCTTAATCTTCACCTATTTCTCCCAAATGCATACCTCCCTTCCCTCTGGCCACCGTTTTGCTCTCTATTTGTAAGTCTGTTCTGTTTGTTCATTTGTTTTGTTTTTTAGATTCCATATATGGTGTCTCTGTCTTACTTCACTTAGCATAATATCCTCTTAAGTCTTCCATGTTGACAAGATTGCACTTTTTTTTATGCCTAATACTCCATTGTATATGTGTATCAGATCTTCTTTATTCATTCGTTTGTCAGATACTTAGGTTGCTTCCATATCTTGGCAATTGTAAATAAGGTGGTGGTAAACATAGGGTAGGGGTGCATTTATCTTTTCCAATTAGTGGCTTCATTTTCTGTGGCTAAATACTCAGAAGTGATATTGCTAGATCATATGGTAGCTCTATTTCTAATTTTTTGAGGAATCTCCATACCATTTTCTGTGGTCCACTAATTTACATACCTACCAACAGTGCACGAGGATTTCATTTTCTCCACGTTCTTGCCACATTTATTTCTTTTTGATATGAGCCATTCTGACATATTTAATTATGGTTTTGATTTGCATTTCCCTGATGATTAATGATGTTGAGCATCTTTTCATGTATCTGTTGGCCTTCCCTAGATTCTCTGTCAATTTTTTAATTGGATTGCTTGTTTTTTTAGTGTTTAGTTATGTGAGTTCTTTATATATTCTGGATATTAATCCTTTATCAAATATATCATTTGCAAATACTTTCTCACAAAGATTGCCTTTTCATTTTGTTGATTTCCTTCACTGGCAGAAGTTTTAGTTTGCTGTAGTTCCATTTGTTTGTTTTGCTTTTATTGTCCTTGCCTTAGGAGATAGATCCAAAAAAATATTGCCAAGACTGACATCCAGTAGTTTACTGCCTATGTTTTCTTTTAGGAGTTTTATTGTTGTAGGTCGTACATTTAGGTATTTAATCCATTTTGAGTTTAATTTTGAGAATATTGTAAACTACTACCCATCAGCACTTCTGTACCAGGAGAAAGTCCCTCCACATCCCCTGTCCCTCTGGAAAACACCTTAAAATTAGTCAATAAATCTCTTTCACGTGTGGCCCAGGTGATTTTCAAACTGCTGCCCCTGTGCTGGGGTTTGAAGTGCGTGAGTTTGTGCACAGGCCCTTTAAGAGTGGAGTCTTGGTTTCCTATAGCCTCTCTGATTTTTAAAGCCAGATGTTATGGGGGCTCCTTTTCCTGGTGCAGTTCCCCATGACTGGGAGGTGCCTGGAGTGGGGCTAGAACCCCTGGCTCCTCAGGAAGGCCCTCTGCGCCTGTATGGTTCCTTCCACTTGTAGCCCCCAGGCCTGTGTCAGGGATGGAGGAGGTGGGTCCTGACCAGACCGCACTCTGCCCAACCTACCCCTCTCCAGGTGGCTTTTTAATTTTAACATTAGCTGCCAAAGAGCTGTTCTGCCAGTCTTCAGCTGGTTCTCAGGGAGGGTTGCCCTACATGTAGCTTTGGTGTGTCGGTGAGAGGGGTGAGCTCAGGACCCTCCTGCTCTGCCTTCACAAAAAATCTGGGCTCACACTTTGAGTAACAAGGTTTTGGGCAGTATTTAGGATATAAGTATATATCCCCTATATATTCTAATAATATTGCTATCATCTATGTTTACTTTTTGTCTTCATTCCAGGGGTAACACGGCATTGTCAATCTTCCTTCTTCACTTCACCCAGTCAGAAAACATTCTGACAGGTAGTAACATCAGTAGTAGTAAGAACGACAGTAACTATAACATTTCCTTTATCATACTTTTGGTGGAAAAGGGCTATACTATCAAATAAGATGGAATAATTAAAATTTCAAAAAGTCTGAATCTTTCACTCTATAAGCAGCAAATATCTGTGTATGTAAATATATAGGATTAATAAAGAAATATAGTAAGTTCCTTGCCTTTAAGGGTTTTAAATTTGGTTGGGAAACAAAACAGACACAGACATAATGTGAGTATAGTTATAAACCGTAACTGTTGAAGAGTGAAAAGCTGTAATTGCTATGGTTTATAAGCATGATCAAGGCAGGCTATTCTCAATCAGGGAAGTCTTCCTGAAAGAGATGCTGTTCAAACCTGATTTTAAATGGCTCAGTAAAGAAGGACGTAAACAGATTAAATATTTTAGAAAGGGAGTTAGCAAGATCTTAATGAGAACCTGGAGGTTCCACAAGGAACTGGAACGGCATAGCAGCCGGTTGTCACTGTCAGGGTACCAGGCCGGAAGTTTCTGACATTCAGGGCAGAGTGTGTCATAGTCACGCAAAGTTAACTGTGGTTCTATCATAACAGAGTGAACTCAACGCGTACAGCCATGAAGTCATTACCATTCTTGGGGAAATAGATCTCATGCTGGAGAAGCTTCCTGAGTGGGTTACTGCGAGACCAGCTAAAAAGAACCTGCTCACCTTGCTGGATGAGGTCTATGTTCAGCCAGAGCCCCTGGGGGTTGTGCTGATTATTGGAGCTTGGAACTACCCGCTTGTTCTCACCATTCATCCTCTGATAGGAGCCATTGCTGCAGGTGTGGCCTCAGCTTATTACATACATTCACTTTGCCTTGGTGTGCCTTGTTTACACCAGCAGTGTACCGAGAATTCATAAATATTACTACTTTTCAAATGGGCTCCAGAGAAGTTTTCAGGGTAACTGTTCTTTGAAACATCTTGGGAGTCAATCTGTGAGGGCATTAAAGGCATGAGTCAACATGTCCAGGAGCTTGGAGTCAGGCATCCCTATTGTAGTTTAGGTTCAGTTGCCAGCTCTGGTCTTGGATGAACCGTTTGAATCTGCCTGACCAGTTTCTCCAATCAGATGGGGGCCGAGGTAGTAAAGCCAGCTGGGGGGCATAGCAAGCACCAAGAGACTAATTTTTTACTTCTGCAGGATCCTAGTCAGTAGCTTTTGCTGACAGGGTTTGTTTGCCCAACATTTCCAGGGCAAACGGGAAAGCCCAATGGTGGTAGTGGTAAAAGTGTATGGGGGGAAGCTGGAGGATGAGGGCTGCTGCTGAGCCCATTACCAGTGACCTGAGGATAGAGCTGAGGGTTAGCATTTGAGGAAAAAGGAGAATGAGCCTGCTCTCATTGAGGAAGAACAGAATTAAAGCTGTGGAAATAATTGAAATACTGGATCTGTATTCCCCACATTTTGGGGGCTACTAAAGCCACCAAACAGAGCAATAGTAAGTATGCTGTTTAGTATATTTAATGTACTACTTAGAGTAATAGTAATGAGTAAATATAAATATACTGTTACTCAAGTATGAGATGATACTGGTTTGCTTTTTGCTTTGTTTAGGAAATGCTGCGATTATCAAGCCTTCTGAAGTAAGTGAACATACAGCCAAGATCTTGGCGAAGCTCCTCCCTCAGTATTTAGACCAGGTAATTATGTCCTGACCCATCCTCCACACACAGGTTCTTCCTGCTCACGTGTGTCATCTGCAGCTGGGGTTCTGTGGGCAGGTTCCTAAGCCTCCAGTAAGTTTAATAAAAGAAACTAAGTTTCATAATAAACATGGAATCACTCAGTTATTGTAGTTACATAGGTACTTGGGTCCAGGGCTTCCTAGGCAACCCCCACTATTTACAAATCCTCTTTTGTCTTTTGGCATTTTAGATTAACCTTTGATCTAATGTGATTTGGGGTGTACCCATTTAAAGCTTTGTTTAGTGAGGGACTGGTACTGTGCTGGGTGCTGGTAATCTCTCTCATCTTGATGGGGTATAGTTACCTAAGGACGCTTCTGCTTTTAAAATGGGTGAGTCTGTGGCATGAAAGTTGTAAGAAGAAAATGGCTTCCTGAACCAGAGTGTTCTGGAGTTAAAGAGATGGCATTTAGGAGTATCAAAGGTTAGATAAAGACGATGATCTCGTCTGCCTGAATCAGAGGCTCTCTGCCCTCCTGGGTTTATGATGCCACCGTGAACTTGGGACTACTTAGTTCTCCGTGGAATTGTACAGGGAGGAGTCCTCATTGAGCTTTCATTGAAAGACAACTTTAAAATACCATACCTAGAGTTGTAACCCATTAATTTATAATAAAGCAGAGGCATCTCGGGGTCTTGAAATACCATTGTTCTCTCTGTTGTCTCATCACTGTTAGAGCAGCCCAGAGAACAGTTCTGTTCTGGTAGCTGTGGTTATCCAGTTCAGGAGGATGAGGAGGACAATTGATGTCATGGGTTGAGTAGGATTTGGAACCAAGGTAGAGGTTGAAGGTCCTGTTTGCCCCTCCTTATGGGTAAATTCTTCATGATCTGACTCTCCAGATGGGATAATGATGCCCACCCTAGCTCACTTAGTTTGGGACCAATCATGTTTGCTCTGTAGATTAAGCCACATGCTAGTGAAAATGTGAAACGTGTTGGGCAGTTGAACTACGGATGAACGAGAACTCATCTGCCCTCCTAGATAGCAGTCAAGTAGAAACGTGAGGTCCACAGGGATGCTTCCTGGACATCTCCCTCTGTCTGCTTTCCTTGCCCACTTGTTTCTGCCACTGTTTTTCATACTGTTAACATCCAAGATACTTTCTCTGGTGAAATGTTGGTAATAGCACAGTGCACAGAAGGGCTCAGTCCAAAGCCATGTGACTTCCCTCCAGTAACCGGTGAGTAAACAGGCTCAGAGATGATCAGTAGGTTGCCAGAGGTCATATAAGCTAGTGGGTGACAGGCCCAGGTCTAGTCCAGATCTGGCTTCAAAAGCAAATTATCTCATTTGCATTCCCTTGCATTCATTCAGCAGACATTTACTAGGTTCCTACTGTGGGTCAAGCCTACCCTGTGTTGTGTAGAGAGAGAACATTCGGGTTAATACATTCAGGTGGGACCTGTTCTAGTTACAACAGCAGCCACATTTTCTCACTCAGATTCTCAACTTGCAAACTGCCATCTGCATTTCCTTGGTCAGATCTAATTATTTGCTATCATTTGTCTTCACTGCTGAGCTCATGAGAAAGCAGTGAACTCTCAGGTCAGTTCCACTGTCGGGTGATGACTCTCAGATGCCACCAGATGGTTCTCCTCTTGCCTCTGTCAGCTGCTGCTTCTTTCATCATAGGGGCTGGTCTCCATCTTCTCTGATATTCCTGAATGTTACATGTTTACACTGAAGAAATTGTTGATGTTAGACAATATGATGAATTTGGCAATGTATGTTTTTCTGTCTTTAAGGACTTGTATGTTGTCGTTAATGGTGGTGTTGAAGAAGCCACGGAACTTCTGAAGCAACGATTTGACCACATTTTCTACACGGGAAGCACTGCAGTCGGAAAAATTGTCATGGAAGCTGCCGCCAAGCATTTGACCCCTGTGACTCTTGAACTGGGAGGGAAGAGCCCATGTTACATTGATAGAGACTGTGACCTGGACATCGCCTGCAGGTGAGACTGGCACTCTGCTTAGTGCGGTTTTCCCAGCCCGGAGGAGACCTCTCCTAATGGGTTGGCATATCTTCTTTGTACTGGAACCTCGTGCTTCGTGACTCTGAGGGACTGTGGTTAACGTCCACAGGAGTAACCTCTGTTGGTGCCACTGCCAGAAGAGATGGCTAAGAGGTCTTGATGTTATGTGGTTGGCCTTAGGAGTTAAGAAAAAGTGCCTTCCTCTCAAGATGATAGTCCGGAAACTTTACTGTTCTGCTGGCAGATAATCCATGAAGTAAAGTACTGTGTGTGCCTAATAAGAGTCTTCAAATTTCCAACAGAAAGGGTATTATGTGGACCTCTTAACTGAGGTCCTTTGTTGACAAAATCACTATTATTCACGCAAGAATAGCATCTTCCCTGTGGGAACTAGAAAAAAAAGGTTTCAGGTTCTTTCTGCTAAATCAGGTGTGGCTACCCAGAACTGCCACAGCCCAGGACTGACTGTGTGCTCGAGGTGGCATGGCTTTCTCTCCTCTCGGAGATGAGGAGCAAAGGAGGCCTAAGGAGTTTCGGCTGCATCTGGGTAGAAGTCTATACCTCCCAGAGCATGAGACTCTCGGTAGCGACATTCAGGTCGTGGACTTGGATCTATGCATAGGACAGCTTTCTGAGGCAGGGAGAGGCCCCACAGAGAGCAGGGTGGTCTCGGAGGCTGGCTGTTGTCCTGTTTTATGCTCAAACATCTGGCCAGCAGGACCTAAAGCCAAACCAGGAGAGGTGAGGTCTGTGTGGAACTCCTGTCCTCCTCCCAGACTCCCTCTTGGCTGGAGTTGGGGAAGGAGGAGCAGGGTGTTGTGAGGCTGTTTCTCTGTCTCCCTGCAGTAGGCAATGGCTTGTTAATCAAGTACTCTTTCCTGTGGGTTGGTGTGAGAATTTCCCTGCTGCTTAGAATGTTCTACATCAGTTGAAAAATGCACTCTAAGTTCTAGCCAACTGATTTAGAAATGAATTTTTTTAAGTTTTATTTTTTGTGAAGAGTACCAAGTAAATCTATGAATACATGGTAGTTGCAAAGTATTCAAACAACGCAAAATTACATAACAAGTGGATAGTAGACTGACTACCATGGCTATTCTGGGTTTTTCGCCCCTCCCCCACAGACGTATAGCCTGGGGGAAGTACATGAACTGCGGTCAAACCTGCATTGCTCCTGACTACATTCTCTGTGAACCATCCCTCCAGAATCAAATTGTGCAGAAGATTAAGGAAAGCGTGAAGGTTTGTACTTAACACATTTGATTCCATTAGTTTCATTAAAATATGGAGTTAAATCATCTGTTTGCAGCCAGCATCCCTATTCCCTCATCTGCTCAGGAAAATTCCAGTAGCACGTGTGACTGAATTAACTTATTGGCTGATTAAAAATGCTCTTTGCACCTCTCGTAGACTGTCTCAGGGAGCAAGATTAGGTTGGTGTTAGACCCACTTAAACTGTCTCATTGATTTGCTTATGAAACAACTGGTTAGTTGTGGTACATGGCTTTAAAAAAATCACTATGTTTTGTGCTTGTAAGTGAACATTGCTGGTCCTTGAAATGAGTAAGAGGTGCTTTGCCATGTTGACCACTGCTCATTAAGGGTATCAGTTCCTGTGTGTGCAGAGGGCCAGGTATTAGGAAGGCCAGTAGTTTGGAGGAGTGAGTGAATTAAATACCTATTTATGTTATACTCTTGACATGGTTATCGATCTTTCAGGGTGTTTAAGACCTTGGCAAGAGAATCAAGGCTGCATGGTAGTGTGCTGAGCTAAGCCTTAAAGAAATGTAGGGTTTGGATTGGAAGAAAGGAATGGGACGAACCAGTGTGACTGAGTTCACCGTGGGAGGGGGTCAGTAAGCCCTCTGGATGGAAGAAATTATTGGAATAATCATTGTTCACTCAACAGGTGTTCACTGAGCACTGACAGGAAGGATCAAGCCCATGCAAGAGCAGTGTTCATGATCAGAGAATAACAGTCAGATGCCAGGAAGTTTACGGAAGTCAGGGACCCCCAGCAGGGTGACTCTGGGCACGAGGGGCCGAGGGTGTTGATGTGGAGGTGGACGTCAGCGACGCTACTGAGGGGGAGTCAGACAGGAACACGCAAGAGGTGAACTGGCCGGTCAGAATGTGGACAGCAGAGAGAGAGGCCACAGGTAACCTGTGAGGCCAGAAACACCTGGAAATCAGACAAGACGTGCTTAGGCGAGTCTGGTGTTGAACTTGGCTTCAAGGGAATAAGAGCCCTTCTGCCACCTTTGAGGCATTTGTACTCTTAACACACTGGTTCTCTACTGAGGTTCACTAGAGAGCCATTTAGGAAGTTGCCAGTCCTTGCCCTTCCAAAACATGAAGCAGCTAGTCTGGGGTCTCTGGGTGATTCTAAGGTGCAGCCAGCATTGAAAACTACTGTTGGTGGCCCTGGAGCTGCAGCCCAGGAATGTGCATGTCAATGGCTGCCTGGTGGTTCCTGCCTCCCAGGTCAGGGACTATGGGCCGAGGGTGGGTGAGCAGTGCTCATTTAGATTGCCAGTGCATGAGCGCTCTCCCAAGGCTTTGAGATAATGCAACAGTTCAGTAACTGTGTTTGCTTTACATAGTAAATATTGGCTGTATGATTTCGAGGCTCTTTTGCTTTTGAGGCTAATTTACCAGAACTTAATTCTGATCCTTTCTGTGATTTCCCTGTCATCTGCAACTGGTGGAAATACCAGTCCAGAAAAGATGTAAAACTATGAAGTAGCACAAAGCTCAGTGAATTTCCTGTGAAGGGCTGAGTATTTCAGGTTTTTTAGGTCCCCGCGTCTGTGTTGCAACTATACAACTCCTCACAAGAGGCAGGCAGCCCCAGCTGCAACACAGTGGCAGGTGGCCCGATTCAGATTGAGAACCCCCCGACCCACTGCTGCCTCCCGCATTCGCCCCCGGGAGGGCCTGCACGCAGTTTGCAAGAGATACCTGAAAACCCCTGAAACTGTGGAAAATGATAGATCTGTGTGTGTGCTTGAGTTCTTGTCCTGGACCTGACAAACAGCTTAAACTCACTGCTGGTAGACTCTTATGAAAGTACTTGATTGGGAGGGTGGGGGGCATGATAGAAAACCAGATCAATTTTGGGGCATGAATGGATTTTGTACTTGCTAAAGAAATTGAAATAGGGTCTTTAATGGCTAATACTATTGTTTTAAATAGGCATTTTATGGAGAAAATATAAAAGAATCTCCTGATTATGAAAGGATCATCAGTCTTCGTCATTTTAAGAGAATACTGAGTTTGCTTGAAGGACAACAGATTGCCTTTGGCGGGGAGACGGATGAGGCCTCACGCTATGTGGGTAATGGAAATTCACATTCCTCTCCAGACACTGCGACTTGATGGTCTTATTGGCACTATTTACTGACGCTAATGTAGTGTTTAATGAACTGTTAAATACTGCTTTCTGGTATACTGCTTTGGTTAAAGACGGTTTTATATATTTTATATATGTCCATATGCGTGTTTAATAATACTACATGTGTTGCATTAAGTTTTTGTATGTACACATATTTTGTCTAATTTTTTTTCTTCCTACAACTGAGAAGCAGAATCAAACTTTGTATAATTGTTTTCAGCTTATGGCTGGAAACACAGCACAAAAAAATAGCTTGGCCACAATTCCACATCTAGCCAGTTGCAGTCCTTTTCCAGAAAGAGTGTTTTGATCTATGGTGCTTGACCTTATTTTTTGTTTACTTTCTTTTTGTGCTTTTTATTCTTTGCCATGAATATGTATTATTTCTGAGTTTTAAATATATTTGTCTAAAATTACATATAAGACAAAAGAATTATAGACATATTTAGCTGGCAAAGAAGCTGCCCCAAATAGCTTGACTTACCGCTCCCTTCAGGTAGAAGAGGGTGTGAGATGGGATCTCCAAAAAACCCAACTTAAAAAAAAAACACAGAAGCTAAAGGACTTAAACAGTAAGCAAAATTATTCTCTCATAATAAGCAGGCCCGAGGTGCTTCTGGTCTGTTAATTAAGCGGCTCAGTGACATCCTCACAAACCCCCAGTCCTTCACCTTCCTGTTCTCCCTTAGCACATCAACTTTGCCCCCTTCTAGCCAGGTCAATGATGAGATTAATAATTAGCTCAATTAGTTAGGAACTTTCCCCTGACCTGGAGTCAGGGTCACCTTACCTGAGCACATGGCTGTACAGAGGAGGGTGGACACCCAAACCCAACCAGGTCTCTGACCCAGGGATGCAGTGGGCAGCAGATGGGGGGAGAAACTTACATAGCCCTGGAGCAGGCTGGAGCGAGCCATCCTCAGCCACAGTGCCAGGGTGACCTAGTAGAAAATCAGGGGTACGGGAAAGAGCACACTTGTTATTGTCGGGTGTCTTCTCTGTTCATGGATGATTTCAGGGGCCTGCTGAGTACTGCTCATTGGTGACTGGCTTGGCATGGACACCGGGGCACTGTGGGGCTTCCTCAGCATCCACATTGCCCTCCTTTCTTGTGCCCTTCCCCATAGTGGACACCACACTGAATTAAGGGTCAGGGAATCTTGGCCAATTAAGTATATTTTCTTAACCTGTCTAATGGAGTTGAAATAAAGGTGAATGAGATCATATGCAAGAAAGCCCTTGAATTAAGAATTGGTATTGAGGGTATTAGGCTCAGTGAAATAAGCCAGGCAGAGAAAGACAAATACCATATGATGTGACTTATTTGTGAAATGTAAAAACAAAGCAAAACAGAACAAAACGGCATCAGACTCATAGACACTGAGAGGTGACTAGTGGTTACCAAGGGGGACGTGGGGGTGGGGGAGGGGATAAAAGGGCAAATTTGCAGTCCCAGTATAAGTTGATCATGGGAACTGTTGAACCACTGTGATGTAGATTTGAAACCAACGTAAGATTATTAATAATACTTTTAAAATAATAATTTTTAAAAAAAAGAATTGATGTTGATTTGATCCACAGAGGGGCTGTTGCACTCCCAGGAAGACCCATCTAGAAAAAGACAAACATAATCCCCCTGCAGACGAATATAGCTGTGAACAGGCCAGATACAAACAGGATGTACACAAGCATTTGTCTTTCCCATGGTTTGCTTAAGGATCCCCTGATACACATGCTTGGAGATGTTTAATATCTACATGTTTCATCCACACCTACACTCAGGGCTTTGTTTTAATAAATAATACTTAGGTGGGAATGGGAGAGGGCCCGGGATGTGACACGGGGGCTTTGCATTTCTGTCTTCTGCTTCAGTCCTTTTCCTTATTGTCTTTTCAGCCCCAACAGTACTTACTGACGTTGATCCTGAAACTAAAGTGATGCAAGAAGAAATTTTTGGACCAATTCTTCCAATAGTGCCTGTGAAGGATGCAGATGAAGCTATAAAATTCATAAATGAACGTGAAAAGCCCCTGGCTCTCTATGTGTTTTCTCACAACAATAAGGTAGTTTATCGGGAATGGCGCGCTGTCATAAACTGCATTTCTTCTTTGCCACACAGCAAACACCAGTTGATTTTGTACAACACGGAACCTGCCGGTGAGTCTATTCAGAAGTGCCACAGGTGTGAGGCCCTAGTGCTGTCAATGTTACCTTTTCCATGCCCCAGGGATTATATCTAAGTCTTCAGGGGTGAGCATCACAAGTTTTTTTTGGCTCACAAACACCTCCGGATAACTAGAAGACTTTCATGAACCAGCCTTAGCGACTTAGGTCCTGATGTACTCCCCAGGGCGTTCCTGTGTAAGAGCCTTCCCTTCTTACCCAACGGCATTCACAGCCTCTTGGGGAGGGCTGTGGGGGACAGACTTCTGCCACTGTCACAGGAATGGTTGTGAAATCTTGGATTCCAGTTTCTCCAGTCACATTACTTTGTTGTCAGGGTGCTGGAGCCATCACAGCCAGGTGAGCAGGTCACACCAGGGTGAGCAGGGTAGCCCCCTGTCCAACTGGCTTGTTTGCTCGCCTCATGAGTGATCTGCTAAGGGATGGTGGCCTTAAGATGGGCAAGTAAGTTCAGGAGCCTGCTGAAGAAGAGGGAAAACCAGAAGGAGGAAGTTGGGACCACTCGAGGGCTGAGGAGTTCACAAAGCAAATATTGTCTGCAGAGCCTATGGTGGTAATGTGCAGCTGGTCACGGGGCTGCTCCTATAGAGATGCAGCTGTGTGAGGTGAGAGCAGGTGTGTGCGGCCCAGTAAAGGATGGCTTCTCAACAAACAATGGTCTGATATTTGAACTGACCACAGGTAATGTGGTCGGCAGGAAGCCTGGAGCTTAGAGTCTGACGGCCAGGGTGCAGGTTGTGGGGAGCACATCCCAGTGACTGGGTCATGTCGTAACCAGACTCCACCTTGATGTTCACTACAAAGAACGCTCAAGAGCTCACTGGCAGCCAGGTGAAATTATATTTAACAGCCAAATGTCATTGTGCCTATTATGGTCTTAAGCCAACCATATTTTTTGCTTCAAAAATAAGAGACTAAGTCTAAAATCTTAATATTTTTTTTATTTCAGAAAAACTAAGTGATGTCTATTAATTGTATGCTATTATTTAGAGCAGAGATGGAGAAATATTAACAATTTTTAAAAACCAGAATATATGTAGTCTAATCTGTCCCTTATAACAAAAGACTTTGGTCTTCTGGTGAGTCCAGCTGTAGGTGGTGACTGAGCCACAGAACTGGTTCAGTGTCACCTCCCTTGAGGTTCTGGATATGTATCTGGTGCTAGATGCCAATTACATGTTTGCTAAATTGAGCACTTTAGATTATTCATGTATTTGGCATGGTGTACCCAAATTCAAATAGTCATGCCAGTACATGAAGCTGATATGCAGGTCCCTTCAGCACACAGCCCACACTGCAGGTACCACGAATGCAGGAGCCTTTGTTCTGTCCCTCAGCTCATCAAACGGATGATTGATGGAACATCCAGTGGTGGTGTCACAGCCAACGACGTGATTATGCACTTCACTCTCAGCTCTTTACCCTTTGGAGGAGTGGGTAAGTCACCCTGAATCCTCTCAGAGGGCCATTTCATGAATCATTTGTCCAGGAATTTGAGTTGGCTGTCTGCTCTGTTGTCTCCTCCTGAGAGAGACATTCCCTGACACCCACTTGAAGGTCATCTTCCCACAGGCCTTCTAGATTCCCCGTAACTCCACTTGTTAAAGATAACCTCCAGTCTACATCCTTAAAATTCTTTCCTTATGTATATGTGCAGATATATACATAAATGTGTGACTGTTTTATTCAAAAATGGTTATCCTGTTATGTGTTTTCTAGCCTGTAGGTGACGATATAATGTGACATTTTCCCATGTCAGTATGCATGCATGTCGGGATCTCAGTAACTGCGTACTGTTCCATTATGAATGCAGCATATTTATTTAACTAATTCCTGGCATTAGGTTTTTGTGATTTCAAAACTTTTTGTATCATGATTCTATATTGTGCAATTTCTGATTATTTCCTTAGGAAAAACAATCTAGTAGTATAATTGCTGTGTTAAAATGGTTTTTTTATTTTTATTTTTTCAAAATGAAATGCTTTTTTCTTCTAACTCAAAGGCTTATTGGGAAATGGGCAAAAACAAACAAAATACTAGAGAAAGTTATAAGAAAAATGTAATAACTTCCCAGGCATAAGCACTATTAATCTTTTGGCATACAGTTCAGATTTTTCTTCTAAAATGTGTATCTTTTGATATGTATTGCCAAATTTCCCTACAGTTTCAATTATCACCTAAATTAAACACCAACAGCCGGGCACCAGAAAACTGCTTCTAGGGCCCCAGTTACCCATGCCTCATGCCACTGCGCTGTATGCATGTGTCTACCCAGCACATACAATAGATGGAAACTGTCACACGTCACAGAGCATGGCTTTTTAAGAGGGTGGACATAACTCGGTTATTACCACCCAGCTGCATAGTCCTGCCATCCTGGTCTTTGTTACTTTCTAGGAGCTCAGAGCAGGTGGGTGAATAGGGCCATGGGTAAATAAAGCCAGATGGAACGGCGGCAGAAGAGCACGCAGTACTTCCAGTGGGACCTGTCTGGGTTCACGTTCTGGCTTCCACTTTCACCTTGGGCAGATTCTCTACCTCTGCGAGCTCCCTTCCCCTCTCTGGAATTGGGGGTGATGCCAAAGGTCACTTCCCTGGGGAGAATTTCCTGGAAGAGCCAGTTGCCCTGGCCGCACAGCTAGATGGGGTGTTTCAGGCAGCAGGGAGGTCTGTGCACGTCCCTGGCAGTGTGCAGACCGAGGACCTGGTGTCACTTACAGAGGGGCCTGTTGTGTCTCTTCCCTCTTTCAGGTTCCAGTGGGATGGGAGTTTATCATGGAAAATACAGTTTTGATACTTTTTCTCATCAACGTCCCTGTTTATTAAAAAGCTTAAAGGGAGAAAGTGCTAACAACCTCAGATACCCTCCCAACAGCCAGTCAAAGGTAGACTGGGCAAAATTTTTCCTCTTGAAACAGTTCAACAAAGGGAGACTCAGTCTCCTGCTCCTCACTTTCCTGGGCATCTTGGTGGCTGTGCTGGTCAAGGTAAGTCCCTATTTCTCCTGAGGCGCCGGTCTTTCTGGTCCTGCCTTAATGGCTGCCACATAATTTCTTTTGTCTTGGCAGCTCTTCTAAATTTTATAAATTAGCTCTGTGTCTTATATTAACCTTCAGAGCCTCAGACAAGGTCAGTGAAGTACAGCCTGCTGGCCAGCCACCTACTTTAAATATTTTAAATAAGGTTGTAGTGGGGCACAGCCACAACTCCTTTCTTCCTTTGCATCTCTGTCTGCATTTGTGCTACAGCAGCAGAGTTGAGTAGTTGAAACAGAGACTGTGTGGCCAGCAGACCCTAAATTCTTCCAGAAGAAGTTTGTGGACCCCTGGTTTAAGAGTTTAAAATATTATAGAACTTACTTGCAGAATTCTGATCTCTCTGGTCCTTTTGCTCTTGGTGTCTTGGTGTCAGTTTTTTTGTTGAATGTGTGTGAAATCTGCATGCCCTGGAGGTAGAGGAAAGAATTCTGTGGTGGACGGTGGCCCTGTTGGTGGTGAGGCAAGCTTGACATTTTCCTCCCAAAGTTGATCACCATGTAAAGTTTGTCTTTGGTGATTAATTATTATAGACGTGAGCTTGCCAGGAGGCCCTTGTGACAGCTGGCCTCCCCTGGCAGTTTGTATATCCTTGGGGCGAAGTAGGAAAATGGACTTTCGGAAGGGTGATAGAATGGGGGAGGCAGGTGCGTTCTTAGAGCTCTCAGCCAGCACCCTGGAGACGCTGGAAACACAACAGCCGCGAACAGTAGCCGTAGAAGAAAGGCAAGATGACAGCGTGTAATGGAAATAGCTGTGTCTTTCAAATTTGAAAGGGGGTTGGCTCATCGTGTGCACAGCTTTGGTGGAATTGGAGATACCAATTGCATTTGAAATCATTTGGGTTTTCTCAGAAATACCAAGCTGTGCTGAGGAGAAAGGCCCTGTTGATTTTTCTGGCAATTCACAGACGGTTACCCAGTAAACAGTGATGAGTAACATTTCAGAACCCAGCTCTGTCTGTTGAGAGTGAGGTACGAACTCCTTGTTTTCTCTATATATGTGATGTGGGCCACATTGGGGGTACACTTCCTTTTAGTTGTTTGTTTTTCTATATTTGGAGGCTTAGGAAATTGAGAAAATGTTAGTCTGTACCAAGACTTGTTGGATCTTGGCCCACAATTACCAGAGTTTTAAAAGAGTAAGGAAGGGTTGCTGGAATCTTAAAAAACATGTGTAGAGGTAGTGGCTTAGCTGGGTCTTAATGAAGCATACCTTGTTTCTAGAAAAAGTGCCTCCTTCCTCTTCCTCCCTCAGCTCTCCTGGAGGAAGTGCCAGCTGACCAACTTGGACTTACAGTCACCGTTTACACACTGCACTCTGTTTCACAATCTGAGAATAATCTTCTGGAAATCTCTTAGGTCACCTTTTTTTTTTTGTTTGGTTTTGAGTTGTTTTGGTTTTAAAAAAAATGTTTGACTTTAGCAACAACAGTAGTGAACTTAGTGATTCAACATGTGTGGAATTTAGGGGCTTTCTGTTCTGACTTCCGCATCTTCCTGAGGTCCGAAGCATGCTTGGACCTCCAGTCATCATCTGCCTGTCTTGCTCTTTTCCCGTGACATTGATTCCCCAGCACATCTTATTGGTTGGGATGAAATTTCTTAGCCTCATGTAAAGTTTGGAGGTCCAGGCTGACTGCTCCCCAGGGTTGCCACATTCCCAGAAAGGTTCTCATGGGTGCAGTGCACCATGCCAGACAAGCCAGGACAGGCCCGGGAACCCACCCAGAGCCCCCGAAAGGGTTTGGCAGATAAGCCTTCTCTGCAGGGTCTAGAGAAGCAGCAACTCACAATAAGGTTTAGCTGGGAACAAGAAAATGTTGTTTTGATTCCTACCTCTGAGATCAGCTTAATTAGGGCTTGAGGCAAGGCCTTTTCTGAGCCCATGCTTAGATCTCCTCTTGTGCATCTGCAAGGATAAAGGAGGAATCGGTGATGTCCCATGCCACCGTCAGCTCTCCTCAGTGCCCATCACCGGGAGCCCATGTGTCAGTGTGGATTGTTTGAGATTCAGTGTGAAACTTGGTGAAGATTTTGTCTTCTTTTCCTCTTTGCTTCCTCTCTGCTGTTCTCAGCTTTTATCCTTATCAAACCACCTTTTATTTTAAATAAATGACTCTGAGCCTGTATTGTACATTTACTCAAGGAATTTTTATTGTAATTGTAAACATTTATCTGAGGTTGCTTTTCTGTACTTAGTAGTTATTTTGTTGTATTCTTGGATGTGATTTTATTAATTCATTTCACTACAGTTAGAATGGATTTGGACCGTTCTTAAATGGGAAACTGAAAGTAGCAATTATCAGTTTAAAGGAAGCATATCAGAATCTCCAGGTTAGGGAGTTTTCTGTAAGCATTTAAAATATATGTTATGTGGAGAATACACAGAGTAAAGTTTTAATAAAGCTTAATATAAGCTGCAGAAAGCATTGTAGGGGGAATGGATTTTAAAAGTTGAGAAATACTAAAGGTTAAAATTGATGTCATTAGGCCTCTGAAAATTAAATAGGACTTTTGAAACTCTGAGGTGGTGGCAGGACTTTTTCAGCTTCAGTAGGTATGGGTTAAATTTTGAAATTACTACCTTGGAATTTCATAAACAAAATGATTTCTCAGTTTTCAGATTTCATGTAGAGACTTCAGTTTCTCACTTACAGTGTGAAATAGTAAATGAGTATTTTCAAGTCCTGTCTCCTCTCTGACACTGTCTCATTGATATTAGACAGAATACCACCTCGGACACCACCTCCCTTGTCTTTGGCAGGAGGGTATAATCCTTTATCCTCAGCCTAAACCACACAGTCATCTTAAGTTCTACGGATACGTGGGCCTTTCTTAATACAATGCAGTCTCTTGCAACAGATGGTATTTATTAAGAGGCCCGATGTTGAGCTAATGTTCCTGGGCTGGTTGGGTGGGTTTTTAAATCAGCAGAATAACCTGTATTCCTTTATCCCTTTTTCAGGCTGGATACTACTGAAGAATGATCCTGGTTAACCTCCAGCTTGCCTCTACTGAACTATTCCTCTTTTAAATAGTTAATGAACCAATCATTTTTAAATCCTACCAAAAACAGTAAGAAAATACATAGATGCACCATAATCAAGCCTGAAAGCCATTGCCACTCACCATTAATAAGCTTGCCATTTCAGCCAGATCCCAGATTCCCCTTATGGTGGGGACACTCAGAAAACCTATTCCAGATCTTAGAACTTTGGGCTAGGAGAGGAAAATGTGTCAGGCTATCCTGAACTCCTCGTGAGATGTAGAGGAGTCTCAGAGCCTGTTCAGTGACTTCTTCGTTCCAGTTTGTGGGACACAGAACCCCCTGCTCTGCTGCCAGCCATCTATGAGGCTTCCCAGAGCTCAGCACTGCCCAGGGCCACCAACAGTCTTCTGCTGTCTAGAAAGGTGAGGCTAGATCTTCCCAGCCCAGCTTGAGGTTTGAGGCACAAACTGGTGGGGGAGGTCCCTGTCCCATTGGGCCTTGAGGCTCTTACCTCCAGGAGCTGCCTTCCTGTCCAATGTGCCGTCTGACCGGTAGTCTTCTTCCTTCTCCTGCATCTTCTGTCCTGTCTTGTATTTGGTTTGCAACAGTCTATTGTGGCTGTGTACAAATGCTTTTTGTGACTGATATCACTCTAAACATCTCATAAATCTTAGGGCTTCCTGGAAGACAGTTGCCAATTTTGTGCAAGTATCATCTGTCATTTCTTACAGTGTAGGAATTTCACAAGTTGTTTCTTGTGAAACCTATCTGGCATTTTTTAAATACTGTAATGAAGTACTTACTCTTTCTCAAAATCTTTTAAGTTTCTTCTACAGGACAATGCAAGTAAATTTCACTTTTTTAAACTTTAGCGATATCCCTTTCTGAATAAACTCAGCCTGCAGAACTGACCATGGGAAAACCATTTCCTGTCAGGGGCAAGAGGCCTTGGATATTCAGGGGTTTGGAGCTTGAGAGCCTCAGAGCTGATGGTGGGTCATTTGGAGAAGCCTGGAGAAGGACTCTAGCCACAGCAGTTGGCAGCACTGAAGGGAATGTAGGATGTTTCTGCAGAGTTTTCTGAGCATGGCTGAGACCCTTGGTCTTGAGCAGAGTGGGAACGTGCTGAAGAAGGACCCAGGGGATTACAGCCCTGCCAGGGCTCCACCCTCCCCACCCCTGCATTTGAAAACAGACTCGGCCCACTCAGAATAGAATCTGCTTCATAGAATGTGCAGTCAACTCTGTCGAGTGGATTTGCTCCAGTAAGACCATCTGAAGTATGTGTTCATCACAGGATGAGGTGTTAAGGATTAATTAAGCATTAGGCTAGTTTAGGAAAAAGCTGCTTACACTGTGGCTCTAACTAGCAGAATAATCAGTCATAAAATACCACAGACAAAATTGCAATATGGAATTTTCATTTAGTATATTGTACATTATAATTTCTAGTTAATGGCTTGCTTACTAGTATATTCTGCTTCAAAATAAATACATATGATAAAATTGACATGAGTTTTCATAACACTCTTAGTGTGGAACCTCAGATATACGCTGTTGAGACAATTATTTGATCATAGTTTTCTCAACTATAAATCCAGTTTTACCTGGATCTATCAGAGGTGGTATTTTGTCAACTTTAAGTCCCATTTTCTTATTTTAATTCTTAGCTAAAAATGTTTTCTTCAGCTTTTCTTTCTGTCACTTGTGGGTTTTTGTTTAAGTCACCTATATAGTAAATAGATTTTTTTCTAATGATGTCCTCCCATTCCCATTTGCTGACATAGAACAAGTGTTTCTGTAAGCATATTTATAGGATGCAAATCCCTTCGATTTTATACAAAAATTGGTCCCACCAGCAATCTTGTCTACCAGGGTACATGGCACAGGCTGAGGGTCTCTTGAGGAGTATAGTCCAGAGCATCGAATGGATCCACCTGCGCTGGTCCCACTGGGGCTTTTACAGGGTGGACCCTGTGTGGCTGTGCAGTGGGGTCAGCTGCTCCTGACTTCCTGACTGTCTCCAAGCAGTTTTGCTAGTGCCTAGTCGTCAGGACCCTGATGATGAACCCCATGATCAGCGTGGCTGATGCTGCTCCCAGCGCAACCCCGCGGCGGATGGCCAGCTGTTTCACTGACAGCCTGCTGGCAGGAGCTGAATGGGTGTGGATTGCTTCTGGAGTCCTGAGGAGGTCCATAGGGCCTCCGGGCCTCGAGTATGTTGTCAGGGTGATGCCAGGGCAGCCTCCTGTAGCCACTGCAGAGGCAAACAGAAGCAAATTCAGCATTGCGGGGGGCCGGAGGGGCTCTGGGCCTTGGAACCAGGGCCGTGGCTAATCACCGGCTGCATTTCTTGTGCTGCATGGCTGGTTAATTGATCTTTGCACCTTAAGGAGAAAGTGCCTGTGCAGTAGAAAATGCCTGCCTTTCCTACAGCATAATCAGGAGGGAATCCTGTGGGAAAACATCTTCAACCGAATTTGAGGGGTAGATTAAGGTGCTGCTAAGATCGAATGAGACATGTTCCTGTCTGAGCTTGTCCTGTGATGATGTGTGACACCGTGAATGTAATTTACACGTACAACTTCAGAACGCATATTCAGTGCTTAGCCGACGATGCTACTCTATTTCTGGGGACAGTTTAAGCTCCAGGAGTTTTGGGCCACTGGCTCGCAACTGCACCAATCAAGACACAGCCTAGGATGAGATGAGGTCACTGAGATAACAGGGCTTTGGGCAATAATACACACACCTGGCATGCATGCCAGCCCTGGGATGGGAGGGCACCTGTGCCTTGAGCTGGGGCTGTCACCTCATCATATAGGCACTGGAGATAAGCCAGAGGTGCCCATGTATCTGATGTGTGCAGAGAGGTAGACAGGGAAGCCTCCTGGTCACTTGGTAGAGCCAGGCTGTCCTGCCCAGACCAGCTGCTGTAGGCCAGGACACGGCCTGCCCTGGGGTGGTGAGACCATGCTCTAGGCCCTGAGAGGTCCACTCTTGGGTCTTTGCTTCTTCCAGTTGTGGTATGATGGGGAAGAGCCCTGAGCTCCCAGCCTTGCCTTCTCATCTAAGCATGGGACTAGAGCTCCTCTTACAAGGCTGAGGATGTGAAGTACTTCATGCGGGGCCTGTTAAATAGGTAGTGCTGTCTTCCTGGTGCTTAGCACATCATTTTCATGCCCAGAGGAAGAAGGGCAGCTTGGGCTTGTGTGGTTCCCAGATGCCTGCGGCTCATGGGACAGCCAGGAGCAGCGTGCCCCAGGTGAGGTGTGTGCCCAGCGCCGTAACAGCGTTACCTGAAGATACAACAGCTTTCTCAGGCCCGGGCCTGGCGGCTGCGCTCATGATACCCACCGAGCTCTCGCTCTGCTGCTGCATCCCTGCGTGTTTCTGAGCCTGCAACAGAGATCTGGCCTGGGTCAGCCTGCCAGCCCTCCCGTTCACCACTGGTCGTAATCCTGCTCTGCCTTTAAAACACTGCAAGCTAATGTAGGACATACTCATAAATTCATAGTTTGGGGAGGCTTTAAAGTGGTAGTGTTTTTAATCATGTTTATCCATTGTCTGAGATGCCAAGACCACTTGATCACACATGAAGGCAAAGCCATGCCCTGGTAGGATTCAGGGTCTTTGCAAGAACACCCCCTTCTGTGTTCTGCCTGCAGACCAAGCTGTGCCTTTGCTGTGTCTGAGAAGCGAACACTGCCTTACGCCGTCCTTTTAAGAGATCTGTGCACAGGGTGATGGCTTTGCCTCTTTGTAGTCATGGCACATGGGCTCATCTGGTTCAACTAGTGTGTCTGTGCTCTTTGCTTTTTGGTTTTCAGCAGCTGAGGCTGGCTCAGGAAAATTTTTAGCGTGCATGTCTCGAACTGGACAGTGTGCTGTGTGTTCTGGCTTCTGATCCCCCTACGCCCCCGGCTCATCCCACAGATGACTGCCTCAAGGCATTTCTGGTCGCCCTGCCCCCTTGGCCAGGTGGGAGAGACTCACCTGCTCAGCAGCCAGCTCCCAGTTTATCCGGGCAGTATAGGCAGTAAAGGCAAGGGTCACCAGCAGGGTAGAGGCCAGCATGCCCAGCCAGAGGCCTGTCGGGGAAAAGCGACAATGGGGAGGGTGTCTGATGACCACCCAGGCCTCCAACGTTTGCCCACAGCACATACCCATGATTCTCATCCTGACCACAAAGATCAGCACAGCAGCCAGCGGGAGGCCGATGAGGTAGTATACGGCAGCGTTCACTGTGGCTCCGAAAGCCTGCTTGCCGGTTCCTCTTAGGACTCCGCCGTAGACACACTGGGAGGGGAGGCAGAGGGGCAGGAGGTCAGTAATGGCGTGGTGGTGCTCTGAGCATCTACACTGCCCGAGCTCATTTAACTCTGGCAGCACAGGGGAGGCCGCTTTTACCCCCTTTTTCTGTGAGGATACAAGTCAGGCCTACTCCCTTGCCAGTGTTAGAAAAGTAGCTGTGTGTTGAACAGTCTTCACATCCACAGCATTGCCTCATGAGAAGGTCAAGGTAAAACTGGTGACCAACCACCAGCTGGTCTGGGGGGTTGGACCAGCATCACACAGAGGGGATGTGTGGGTTTCCTATTGCTGCTATAGCAACTCACCACAGATGTAGTGGCTTAAAACCAGACACACTGTGTCATAGTTCTGGAGATCAGAAGTCTGAAGTGGGTCCCACTGCCTGAGTTGGGGCCGGCGCCTTCTGCAGGCCCCAGGGGAGAACCTGTTTCCTCTCCTCTTCCAGCATCTAGAGGCCCCCAGAGAGCAATGCATTGCTCCAGCCTCTGCTGCTGTCCCATCTCTGACCCTCTGCCTCCTCTCTCACTTAAAAGGGCAAATGTGATGACATTGAGCCACCTGGATAATTCAGGATAATCTCCCCATCCTAAGATCCTTAATCACACTTACAAAATCCCCTCTTGTATATGACATATGCACAGGTCTGGGACTAGGAGGTGGATATCTTGGGGGCTGTTACTCTGCCTGCCACATGAGGCGACCTCAGGTGTGGTCTTGCTGCATATGAGACAGGCCCCTGCCTGCTTCTGTCCCTGTGATTATGGTCATGGATGAAAACTGCTCTGGAGAAAGTACTACCTCTCTATTTTTTTAGTCTCACCCTCCCACCTTGGTCTCAGATCTAATGAATTAAAGAACAACAGGCACAGCCTGCGCTTGGTCAGCAGGGTCAGGGAGGGGAGGGCTTGAAAACTTCACGTATCCTAAGTTGCTGGAGACTGCGTGCACGTGTACTGTGACCAGAGCAGCCCCAGCTCTCCCACACACCCTAGGCAGCAGAGCGTGTGCACGTGGCCAGAAGAGACAGAGGAGGACCTGGAAGGCAATAAAAGCTGGGCACACTTGAAAGCAGCCTGAACTTTGGCCTGCGAACCACACTCAGATCCTTCAGCAGGGAATGGGGGCTTAACCAACTGTCAGAGGTGTTTGAACACCACCCCCCCCCAAACCAATGGCTGAACACTGAGCCATAGGGGTGACTCCTAGGAAACTAAGCTTAACAATAAAAGCAAGAGGATCACGGGAAGATGGCGGCGTGAGTAGTTCAGAGGAAATCTCCTCCCCAAAACATAGAGGTGCCCATGTATCTGATGTGTGCAGAGAGGTAGACAGGGAAGCCTCCTGGTCACTTGGTAGAGCCAGGCTGTCCTGCCCAGACCAGCTGCTGTAGGCCAGGACACGGCCTGCCCTGGGGTGGTGAGACCATGCTCTAGGCCCTGAGAGGTCCACACTTGGGTCTTTGCTTCTTCCAGTTGTGGTATGATGGGGAAGAGCCCTGAGCTCCCAGCCTTGCCTTCTCATCTAAGCATGGGACTAGAGCTCCTCTTACAAGGCTGAGGATGTGAAGTACTTCATGCGGGGCCTGTTAAATAGGTAGTGCTGTCTTCCTGGTGCTTAGCACATCATTTTCATGCCCAGAGGAAGAAGGGCAGCTTGGGCTTGTGTGGTTCCCAGATGCCTGCGGCTCATGGGACAGCCAGGAGCAGCGTGCCCCAGGTGAGGTGTGTGCCCAGCGCCGTAACAGCGTTACCTGAAGATACAACAGCTTTCTCAGGCCCGGGCCTGGCGGCTGCGCTCATGATACCCACCGAGCTCTCGCTCTGCTGCTGCATCCCTGCGTGTTTCTGAGCCTGCAACAGAGATCTGGCCTGGGTCAGCCTGCCAGCCCTCCCGTTCACCACTGGTCGTAATCCTGCTCTGCCTTTAAAACACTGCAAGCTAATGTAGGACATACTCATAAATTCATAGTTTGGGGAGGCTTTAAAGTGGTAGTGTTTTTAATCATGTTTATCCATTGTCTGAGATGCCAAGACCACTTGATCACACATGAAGGCAAAGCCATGCCCTGGTAGGATTCAGGGTCTTTGCAAGAACACCCCCTTCTGTGTTCTGCCTGCAGACCAAGCTGTGCCTTTGCTGTGTCTGAGAAGCGAACACTGCCTTACGCCGTCCTTTTAAGAGATCTGTGCACAGGGTGATGGCTTTGCCTCTTTGTAGTCATGGCACATGGGCTCATCTGGTTCAACTAGTGTGTCTGTGCTCTTTGCTTTTTGGTTTTCAGCAGCTGAGGCTGGCTCAGGAAAATTTTTAGCGTGCATGTCTCGAACTGGACAGTGTGCTGTGTGTTCTGGCTTCTGATCCCCCTACGCCCCCGGCTCATCCCACAGATGACTGCCTCAAGGCATTTCTGGTCGCCCTGCCCCTTTGGCCAGGTGGGAGAGACTCACCTGCTCAGCAGCCAGCTCCCAGTTTATCCGGGCAGTATAGGCAGTAAAGGCAAGGGTCACCAGCAGGGTAGAGGCCAGCATGCCCAGCCAGAGGCCTGTCGGGGAAAAGCGACAATGGGGAGGGTGTCTGATGACCACCCAGGCCTCCAACGTTTGCCCACAGCACATACCCATGATTCTCATCCTGACCACAAAGATCAGCACAGCAGCCAGCGGGAGGCCGATGAGGTAGTATACGGCAGCGTTCACTGTGGCTCCGAAAGCCTGCTTGCCGGTTCCTCTTAGGACTCCGCCGTAGACACACTGGGAGGGGAGGCAGAGGGGCAGGAGGTCAGTAATGGCGTGGTGGTGCTCTGAGCATCTACACTGCCCGAGCTCATTTAACTCTGGCAGCACAGGGGAGGCCGCTTTTACCCCCTTTTTCTGTGAGGATACAAGTCAGGCCTACTCCCTTGCCAGTGTTAGAAAAGTAGCTGTGTGTTGAACAGTCTTCACATCCACAGCATTGCCTCATGAGAAGGTCAAGGTAAAACTGGTGACCAACCACCAGCTGGTCTGGGGGGTTGGACCAGCATCACACAGAGGGGATGTGTGGGTTTCCTATTGCTGCTATAGCAACTCACCACAGATGTAGTGGCTTAAAACCAGACACACTGTGTCATAGTTCTGGAGATCAGAAGTCTGAAGTGGGTCCCACTGCCTGAGTTGGGGCCGGCGCCTTCTGCAGGCCCCAGGGGAGAACCTGTTTCCTCTCCTCTTCCAGCATCTAGAGGCCCCCAGAGAGCAATGCATTGCTCCAGCCTCTGCTGCTGTCCCATCTCTGACCCTCTGCCTCCTCTCTCACTTAAAAGGGCAAATGTGATGACATTGAGCCACCTGGATAATTCAGGATAATCTCCCCATCCTAAGATCCTTAATCACACTTACAAAATCCCCTCTTGTATATGACATATGCACAGGTCTGGGACTAGGAGGTGGATATCTTGGGGGCTGTTACTCTGCCTGCCACATGAGGCGACCTCAGGTGTGGTCTTGCTGCATATGAGACAGGCCCCTGCCTGCTTCTGTCCCTGTGATTATGGTCATGGATGAAAACTGCTCTGGAGAAAGTACTACCTCTCTATTTTTTTAGTCTCACCCTCCCACCTTGGTCTCAGATCTAATGAATTAAAGAACAACAGGCACAGCCTGCGCTTGGTCAGCAGGGTCAGGGAGGGGAGGGCTTGAAAACTTCACGTATCCTAAGTTGCTGGAGACTGCGTGCACGTGTACTGTGACCAGAGCAGCCCCAGCTCTCCCACACACCCTAGGCAGCAGAGCGTGTGCACGTGGCCAGAAGAGACAGAGGAGGACCTGGAAGGCAATAAAAGCTGGGCACACTTGAAAGCAGCCTGAACTTTGGCCTGCGAACCACACTCAGATCCTTCAGCAGGGAATGGGGGCTTAACCAACTGTCAGAGGTGTTTGAACACCACCCCCCCCCAAACCAATGGCTGAACACTGAGCCATAGGGGTGACTCCTAGGAAACTAAGCTTAACAATAAAAGCAAGAGGATCACGGGAAGATGGCGGCGTGAGTAGTTCAGAGGAAATCTCCTCCCCAAAACATACATATTTATGAAAATACAATAAATACAACTATTCCTAAAAGACACCAGTGGATGCAGTACAACAGCCAGGATACATCTACATCTGTGAGAACTCAGCATCACATGAAGGGGGTAAGATACAAGCCGGGGCCAGGCGGGACCCGAACACTCCCCAACCCCAGAACCCCATGGGAAGAAAGAATGGGGAGGGAGTGAAAGCCCAGGACTGCTACACAACCAGCTCTAGAAATCTGCACCCAGAGTGCAGACACAAGGTACACAGGGTGCTGGATATTAGAGAAAAGTAAAAGCAAAACCTGTGGGCAGGTCCCCACAACCAGTGCCTGAGACAAAAAAGTGAGTGCTTTCAAGTCTTAAAGAGACAGGGACCCCATAGCTGGACGAAGTCGTCCTGGCACACTTAGCCAGCAGCTGGGAATCCTGGGGAACCTTAGGTGCCCTAAACCCCGGGGAGGCAGAGCAGCTCTGAAGCCCCTCACGGCACTAAGCAGCTTGCCAGTCGTTCCTCCAACTGGCGTGGACCCCGACACACTGGCCCAGTAGCGGGAGAGTGGCACCGTGTGCCGGGGGTGGCGGCAGCGCCGGAAGGGACTCGGAATGGATCATGTGTGCCAACGGCGCCAGAGGGGACCAGGAGAGGCTTGTGTGAGCCCGCAGCGGCGGCGACTGAACAGAAGAGGTGCAGCTCGCGTGCACCAGCAGCAGTGGAGCCAGAGGAGCCCAGTAGAGGCCCGTGCGGGAGAGCCCCGGGCGCACCTGCAGTAGAGCCAGAGGGAGCAGGCACGCTCCCAGCAGTAGACCAGAATCCCAGCCCAATGCACAGCTGCCCGGGCCAGACCCAAAGGCAGCTGCTGCCACACAGCTGCCCAGTAGGGGCACTGCTATCACAGAGGAGTGCACCTGGCATGTCTGCCACTCCCTGCAGGGCTCCGCGCTGTTGTGACGGAGACCTGCCCACATCAGCTTAGGGGACTAACCCGGTGGCTCCTCCAGGAGTGCGGGTAACTGTCACAGGCAGTGGAGAAAAGCAAGGCATCCAGCAAGCAGGAAAGGACTTTCATCTCCCAGCTGACAAACCTGCAACCTGCCTACAGCCACCGCTATCACCATGAAAAGGCAAAAAAATTTAGTCCAGTCCAAGATAGTTCAGACAACACCTGAGAGAGGATCTGCAGAGACAGACCTAACCAGCCTCTCTGAAAAAGAATTCAAAATAAAAATCATAAACATGCTGACAGAGCTGCAGAGAAATATGCAAGAGCTAAGGGATGAAGTCTGGAGGGAGATTACAGAAGTGAAACAAACTCTGGAAGGATTTATAAGCAGAATGGATGAGATGAAGGAGGCCATTGATGGAATAGAAACCAGAGAACAGGAATGCATAGAAGCTGATGCAGAGAGAGATAAAAGGATCTCCAAGAATGAAAGAATATTAAGAGAACTGTGACCAATCCAAAAGGAACAATATCCGCATTATATAGGGGTACCAGAAGAAGAAGAGAGAGAAAAAGGGATAGAAAGTGTCTTTGAAGAAATAATTGCTGAGAACTTCCTCAAACTGGGGGAGGAAATAGTTGCTCAGACCACGGAGGCACACACAACTCCTGAGAGATGGGACCCAAAGAGGACAACATCAAGACACATAATAATTAAAATGGCAAAGATCAAGGACAAGGACAGAGTATTAAAGGCATCCAGAGAGAGAAAAAAGGTCACCTACAAAGGAAAACCCATCAGGCTATCATCAGACTTCTCAACAGAAACCTTACAGGCCAGAAGAGAATGGCATGATATACTTAATGCAATGAAACAGAAGGGCCTTGAACCAAGATTACTGTATCCAGCACGATTATCATTTAAATATGAAGGAGGGATTAAACAATTCCCAGACAAGCAAAAGTTGAGGGAATTTGCCTCCCACAAAGCACCTCTACAGGGTATTTTAGAGGGACTGCTCTAGACGGGAGCACTCCTATAAAGAGCGCGGGACAAAACACCCAACATATGAAGAATGGAGGAGGAGGAATAAGAAGGGAGAGAAATAATCAGCAGACTGTGTTTATAATAGCTTAATAAGCAAGTTAAATTAGACAGTAACGTAGTGAACAAGCTCACCTTGAACCTTTGGTAACCATGAATCTAAAGCCTGAAATGGCAATAAGTACATATCTTTCAATAATCACCCTAAATGTAAATGGACTGAATGCACCAATAAAAAGACACAGAATAACAGAATGGATAAAAAGCAAGACCTATCTATATGCGGCTTACAGGAGACTCACCTCAAACCCAAAGACATGCACAGGTTAAAAGTCACGGGATGGAAAAAGATATTTCATGCAAACAACAGAGAGAGAAAAGCAGGTGTTGCAATACTAGTATCAGACAAAATAGACTTCAAAACAAAGAAAGTAACAAGAGAGATAAAGAAGGACATTACATAATGATAAAGGGCTCAGTCCAACAAGAGGATATAACCGTTATAAACATATATGCACCCAATACAGGAGCACCAATATATGTGAAACAAATACTAACAGAATTAAAGGAGGAAATAGAATGCAATACATTCATTTTGGGAGACTTTAACACACCACTCACTCCAAAGGACAGATCCACCAGACAGAAAATAAGGACACAGAGGCACTGAACAACACACTAGAACAGATGGACCTA